TTGTTCAAGTCAACCTCATGAAATCTACAGTTTGAAGCAGATGTGATCAAAAACTAAAAACACTTGATGCAGTAAAAGATTCTCCACAGTTGAATCCAGGGAATACTGTTCAGAAAGTGCAAACTGCAAAAGCAAATACAGTTTAAATTCTTTAATTTTCTACCAACAGTGACGCGAGGATGTGTTTATAATACGTGTAACACACAAAGAGAAGAAGTGGAACATTTGTGTGATCAATAGATGAGTAACAGAGATACAAACCAGAGCAAAGGATGGAGGACGACACAGAACTGCTCTGTAAAAACACCTAAATGTCAAATATTAAAGAAAATTATAGCCTCAAAGATTTTGCTCATTTCCAAGTTGAAAGTTTTCTGTTGTAAAACGAACAGTTTAGATTCTGCTCGTCTCCACAGGGACGTTCTTCAGGATTCATCATCTCTACATAAGGTGTGATTTTAAGAGCGTGGATCATTAGAAATATGAGTTACATCTTCACATCACCTGTGACCTTATTCTATGTACACAGAGACACCTGCATCCTGCCGTGATGTAGTTCTCAGGTGGAACGGACTCGAGAAACGTCCTGGATCACCTGGAACAGCTGATGTGTGGTGACGCTTGTTTCTTATTGGTCCATGAGCAGTCAGTACGCCGCTCACTGTTTACATCTTACTAACTGAAATAAAATTCTCATCATAGTTTTAGGTTTTGTTTAGTTCCCTATACTAACCTTGGTGCACACGTGGCAACAGAAACGATGACAAATATTTTTGATCGATAATTTATTATCAGTAAATCATTTGCTTCAGAAACTTCAATCTAAAAATGAAAAAGTGTGGAAATGATAGAAAATGATGTAAAATTACAGGTAATAAAATCTTTGTCGCTGATGTAAGACGGCGCCGTTCCCACCACACAAAACAAACTCGTGCTGACTCGATCGTCTGCGTTCAGGATTCGTTCTTTTAGCTGTTCGTTACTCAGGGACAGTTTGAATCACACGCAGTTAGAAAAGATTGAAGGTCAAACAACAGCAAACATCCAGCTTCTTACAGGCAGCTCACTCCTGGTGCTCCTGCAGCTCGTCACATTTATACACAGCCCACAGACGGTGCTCATGTTTCTGCCACGTGAAGACAAAGTTTTGTTGTTGTGGTTAAAAAAGATATTTAGTGTCTTAAACTTGGTATAAGCGGGAAAAGCAAAAAGCAGCGAGCAGGATTCACTTCGTCACTGAGCTCCTGCAGCGACGCTCGTCTCCTGACTCTCAGACTCTTGTGCTGCTGGAGCAGGTGGCAGGAGTAAAACCTCCTCCTGCGTGGATGACGGCTGCTCTTCTGCCACAGCCCGACTTCCCTCTCCAGCAGACTCCATCGCCTCTTTCTGCTGCTCCTCGGGTTCGTTGTTGTCTTCTGGCTTTTCTGTGGAGGCTTTGAGACTTGCAAACCCATTCTGGTCACACAAAGGTTTGTTTTCAGAGTTCTCCTCCCCAGCGCCATGCTCTTTCTGCCCCTCTCCATCTTCCTCTGGTATGTCCTCAACACCAGGCCCCTCCAGGCATGACTCGCCCGGCAGCACAGTGGTGCCTTCCACCTGGATCAAGGACACCACCTGCTTCCCTCTTTTCTTCTTCCGGGACGTCACACTTTCCACCTCACCATCATCCTCTGCCCCATCCACCTCCTCCTGCTCGCCTCCGTACTGTCCCGCCCAGTCGATGGAGGGGTTATCTCCCAGCAGATGCAGGTTGGGGTCACTGTTGCTCAGAACAATACTGTCCCTGTACAGATTGTGTCTCCTTTGGACCGCCGCCTCCTTCACAGCTGCAGACAGAGAGAAAAGGGTTCAAATGTGGATTTATGTGCACAGAGTACAGCAGGGACCAACATGAATGATGCTGATCTCCCAGGTTAAATGGATCCAAGACGCCACTTTTATATCATATTTAATCTGAATATCT